CATTTATCTGCTGTTTTTTGTTGTTAAAATGGAGGACAATTCCAGTTTCCAATTTTTATAATTTGAGGTGGCATATAACCCTGTTTATTATTTTTTCGTGAAGCCACTCAGTAAAATTACGATTTCTCTGCACCATGATGTCCAATCAACATCAATCGAGTATCTATGTGTTCCTGACACGTTTGGGAATCCGGTATATATTGAAAACGTCTACCCAATGTTTACACGCAAAATTGGCGTAATTCATGACTGAAATCGGGAAAACAAAAATATGTTATATTCTTTCAGAATTGTTTATAATAACTATTTACAAATATGTTCCCGAGACACAAATCCATTTAGGTAAGGTTTGCTTCAAAGTCGAAAAGCCCCAATAAAAAGACAATAGAAACCCAGATAAAACCCGGAAGACTGCAGATTTCATGCAATGATTTACGTTCATGAAAACAAGTAAAGTACATATAATCCCCAGATAAAATACTGGCCTACGTGACATGTAATAACATGTTCAAACTGAAATATAGAAAATTTTCAACATAACATTTGCATCCGTGTTCTGTATGCCCCTCTACCTGCTTAATAAGGCAATGTATCTTCAAATAAAACCTTAGCCAAGTAGATTAGAGTCACTGGAACACTTTTGTAAATAGTTTTCACAAGCAATTTTGTTTGTGAATCTCAAATTTTGTCTTCCCGATTTCAGTCATGAATTACGTCAGTTTTACGTGCAAACTTTGGGTAGACGTTGTTATTCCCGGACGTCCAAATGTGTCAGGAACACATTGATCTTGAATGATCTTGATTGGACATTAGGTTGCAGAGAAATCGTAATTTTACTGAGTGGCTTCACGAAAAAATAAACAGGGTTATATGCCACCTTAAATTATCACAATTGGAAACTGGAATTGTCCTCCATTTTAACAACAAAAAACAACAGATGAATTACCCATTGACAGTAAATGGCCATCATTTCTAGTGAGTTAAAAAGTAAAAATGCTATATTTATTTATTTTTATTTATTTATTTATTTCGACTTACACTTTTAAAACAGTGGCTCACATTCATATATAGTATGAAAGGAGCATCGACATTCATTAAGAAATTATGTACATATAAAAACCTATAATTTACTAAAATAATGGTAATCATGGTTTTCCAGAATATGGTATGTACACCTCTGTTAAAAACGTTTTAAGACAATTGTCAAATTGTTTTCCTATTTCATTCCCCCACATTATAAAAACATCATCCCCAAGCATATTGTATTTTAAGGTCAGGGGGTAATTGTAGGAACTCAGACACTAAAAGAGCATCACATGTCTTTGAAAGTTGTTTAATAAAAGAATTTCTTTCATTAGTAAAGTATGGGCAAAAGAGAAAGCGATGTGTGCTTGTATCTGGGACTTTCAAATTACAGTTTGAGCAAAGGCCATCACTTATTTTCCAGCGCTTCCTATCGGCTCCTAAATTAAAACATCCAGCTCTTGCCATAAATTTCAGTCGAGATGGGAAAAAATCTGTTTCATTTTTCAAATAGTTTTCCTTAAATGGGTGCATTTTAAAGGTGGTATATTCTCTTAATGAACTTTTTTGTTGGATTGCTTCTTGGAAGTCATTAAGTCTTTGTTCATTTGATATTTGTATGAAAGACCCATACCAATCAGGATATTTAGATGAAATACAGTCATCCAAACCATATTTAATAAATGTGTTGGAAACCGATTTGATATATGGCCAAGATGATTTTTGGTTCTTACTGAAACGTTCAAACATTTTGGTATATATATCTTTAAAAATGTCACTTTCACTTACACGTTTTTTCAAATGTAAATGGTAGTCAATACATCTTTTGTCAATCATATTCATTATGGGACACCAACCTAGGTCTCCTATAACTGCTTCCCGGGCAGGTTTTGAGTTTAGGTTTAGGATAGATCTACCAACATTATATTGATACGAGATCATGTCATTACATTTAGACTTTGAGTCAAATAATAGAATACCGCTTCCGTGTAAAATAGACAGAATAAATACATTGTTGGAAACGGTGTCACCAAAAGTAAACCGCTGGAGATTTGAGTGCTTATTCAGGGTTGTATTGATATAAAGACGTATCTTTTTTGCTTTGGGCCTTAAGTAGTCATTAAAATGGGTTGAGTCATTAAGGCTATTATTTACCATAACTCCTAAATACTTATAAACCTTTGTTTCTTTTAAATTTAGCCTACCAAGCTTCCATGACCTTTCTTTGTCAATTTTACGACCTATTGGCATAACTTGAGACTTAATTGGGTCAAAGTTAAATCCCCAATGTACAGCGAATGAATTGGCAACATTCAGCATTTTTAAAAGTTCACTTTCGCTTTGTGCCATAAGGACAACATCATCTGCGTACATAATAGCTGGGATTTTTTCTTTCAAAAGTGGTATCCCTAGGTTTCATTGTTCAGGCGGTCAGTTAGGTCATTCATGATAAATAAGAACAGAATATGAGAAAGGGCACAGCCTTGACGAACTCCAAAATCAGACTCGAAAAAATCACTTTCAAAATCACCAAAAATTGCTTTATTCCTAATGCCAGAATATAGGTTCTTTAATAACCTCCATGGTTTACCACATATGCCTTTTTCCCAAAGTTTACAAAATAACAGGTCCCTATCGATCACGTCAAATGGTTTTTTTATGTCCAAAAACCCCAAAAATGTTTTTAATTTTGAGTCTTTTCTTAAGCCACAAATCCCTTTTAATAAAAAATATACTGTCTTCGAGCCTTTTCCCATTTAAGAATGCCCCTTACAGATCATTGAAGATACCCTTTCTGATACAGAATCCTTTGATAGAGTGTTCCATGAGAGATGCATATAATTTATAGACATTTGAGGTTATTGTTATACCTCTATAATTGTCGAGTACTTTAGAAGAGTTCTTTTTGTGGATGGGCTTGAGGAGGCCATCTTTCCAATCATTTGGAAACATTTCTCTAATTGAAAAATAATTGAACATAACATGTAGGGATTGGGCCATAGAAGATCCGCCATATTTCAAAAATTCATTGGGTATTCTGTCTATTCCACATGATTTATTATTTTTGGCCATTTTTACTTTTGCTGTTATATCATCTAAAGAGAAATTAATATGGTTCAGTGAGCCTTCAGGAAAATTGGTTTCATTTTCATAAGAATATAGTTTCCCTTCCATGTCTAATTTGGTTTGGTCAGTATTTCTATTAGACTTACCAACATTTTGCCAGTAGTCTTTTAGAGTTTGAGCGATTACCTTTGGATCATTAATAATGCTTTCTGGATCATTAGGGTCAACAATTTCTGTTGGATATTTACTTCTGACATTAAACATTTTCAGAGTCTTCCAAAAAGATCTGGGACTTGATGATTTTTTAAAAGAATTTCTTATCAAAATATTAAGGTGGTTATTGGTGTGACGCTCTTTTATATATTCAGAGACCTTTCTTTTCCTTTCTAAATAGATTTCCCAGACATCATTGAGGTTATCAGGATTTGGATCTAGCGTACATATAAATCTATGGAACTTGGATGCCTCCTTTCTGCTCTTAATGAGTTTATCTAACTCATCATCCCAAAAGGGGCGTAACTTAGGATTGAACACTTTTTCACCTACCACCTTGGTCCCTGCTTTAATAACTTTTGATAACCAGTTTTCCCAGACTATATTAGGGTTTGCAAAACATTCAGGGTCCCAGTTGGCAAATGAAATTTCCAAAGCTTTTTGAAAAACCACCAGTCAGTATTTTTATTGATGTTCCAATTCACATTATGTTTACCATCTAACTGATATCTAGGCTTTGCAAAGGATAAGATCCAGAAATATATACGCCTCGTTAAGTTGCGTTTGAGTGCTAGCTTAAGCGATGACTTAAATTACATGAATTCTTACTCATGTGTTTCTTCTGTTTAACATAATTGATAAGATAAAAATATGTTTATTCAATTAAAGATATGTTGTGTAATTTAATGTTTTCTGCTCCTCATCTATTGCCCAAGAATAATTCAATTTTTTGTCTAAATCTCTTTGTGTAGCCGATTGAATATATCACTTTCCCAGAAAGTAAATATGAATGGATGCCTAATTAGATCAGAATTCAAGAAGCAATCTTTTAACTGAATTTGTGCCTAAGTAAAACATGGGACAATATATCTAACAACAGAATGACATTGATTATTGTTACCCTTGTACCCATGGCCTAATGGCCTAAATCAGCAAGCCTAAATTCAACTTGCATTTTAAATAACGTCAATGCATGACACTTTGTTAAACAAATGTCAAAATGGAACTTTTTTATGTCATATGGTGAATAGCAAAATGGGAAACATAATTTAATGTGAATTATTTCAGACAAAAGACACAAAATTGGTATCTTCGCCGAAAAGGTCCATCGTCGTTTTCCACTAAGTCTAGAGACCCCGTGGCATAAATGGTCAATTTGTTTCTCCCATTTATATGTGTCGGTTCATAGCCTGGTGTTAAGTTCATGGACTCAATCAGAACGCCTTGTTTCGTCACGTGACAAAATATTGAAAATGTCTATACGGACTGAATAAATATCGCATCGTTGATTGGCCGATTGATTTTGTGGCGTCTCAGAAAACTCTGCGGGCAACTGCCAGGAGGAGCAATATTCAGAGTGAACTCAGCTGGGATTAATGCATCCTTAATTTACACAGTGGTCGTTAAATCGGGCAGATTAATCAACATGAGGGAGGAACAATCGAAACCTTCAGTTGTAAATCAAGATGGAAAAGGCCAACATTATCGAAAAGCTGTAATAAGAGGAAATAAGAGAGGGATGACTTGTTCTGTCCTGGCTACTAAGTTTAGTAATACTTAAAATCACCTGAATTGTATGAAGGTAATTATACTTCCTGATCACATTTCAAAACATTGGTTTTGACAAAGATAGATTAGAAAAATTGAGTCGTGAACAATTAATTCTGTTTTATCTACTTATTATTAGTTATTGATAAGTTATCACGTAAGTTGATTTTTCTAGATAATAACCTTCCATTTGGACGCTTATAAGAAACCAACGCTGAATATGATAAAACTTGTCATTTTGGTGTCTTGTTTACTTCTCCTTGGAAGTAGAGAGGGGGAGGCAGTTACCTGTCCGTGTCCTGATGATGTGGATATTAAACCCTCTGATGAGAACAAGCCATCAATATTTCAAGAGTTGACGAAATTGGAGATAGATGGAGTTTTGAAATATCTTCAAAATGACTCGGGACTGGATGTCAAACTAGGCTACGGGGCAAAAATCTCAGATACAATTGTATATGTAATCGAAAAGAAACCCACTCCAAAAGATGAAGTTTTGAATCATATTGATCGTGATGGCCGGAGGCCAGTTCGAGAGTCAAGAGTTGTATTAGCCACGTCATCTGGAATGACTGAATATACCGTAGGGCCGTTACCTAAACCTACATACCATAGAAAAATAAAATACCCAAAGTGGAGAAAAACGGGTTTAAAATTCACAGATCGTCCTTATCCAATAGACTCATTTGCTATTGCAAAAACTATTCAACGGGAAGGAAGAAAGATGAAGCAACTGCTTCATGAAAGTTTCAATGGATTTGATTTTGAAGATGACTGCGGTAACAAATGTTTAACATATAATGATTTGAGATCGAAAGTTTTACAGGGCAATAGATTAGTATGGGCTAATGTCCTACGTGTAGTTCCACCTTTAATAGGTTCCATATATGGGTATCCACTACCTCTTCAGATTCTAGTTAACATGACTAGCACAGACCCCGATTCATGGAACGCCGCTAAAGTCTGGTACAATGGTCAACATTTTGATTCTACAGATGATTTGATGGCAAATTACATTAATGGGTCAGTTTCAAAGATTGCCATGTCGTACAATGAATCCGATGTGTATTCATCTATGAGGCGAAGGGGAACTGGTAAAACCAGGAGAGCAAATAGAGGACCAGATTGTTTCCCGCAAGATGGCAGAAGATACTCTGTCGATGGACATCGTGTCAAGTATATGGACTGGGAATTTGAATTTACTTACAGGCAAACCACGGGTCCGCAACTCTTTGATGTACAGTTTAAAAAGGAAAGAATTGTCTATGAATTGAGCTTACAGGAAATATTATTGTCATACACAGGGACGACACCATACGGCAGCCAAGCGGGTGTTTTCTTTGATAGCGAGGCTCTTCTTGGGAACTCATTTTCACCTCTGTCCCCTGGCGTGGATTGCCCAAAAGGCGCAACTTACTTCGATAGTTCCATTTTTTCATTTATATTTGGAGAAAAAGTTGTAATCCCGAACTTATTTTGTATCTTTGAATATAGAGATGACCAAGTTCTGAAACGTCATTATGACAACAATTACGGTGGAGGGTATGAATTCTACGGCGGTATGCCAAACAATGCACTTGTTCTTAGAAATATCATTTCAAGTTATAATTATGATTATACAATTAGCTTCATTTTCTACCAGAACGGTGTGATAGGTACCAAAGTTTCAGCTTCTGGGTATGTCTTATGTGAATTTACTCATCATGATGTGCCAATAGAAGACCTGCTTGGATTTAAAATACATGAAAATGTGTTAAGTATGTTCCATCAACACCTGTTCAATTTCAAAGTTGACATGGACATCCTAGGAGAAAGCAACAGTCATGAAACGCTTGCTATTAAAGTCAGACCAGTGACTCATGATGTAGTCAGTGGTATTCAAGAGGAGACATATGAACAGTTCCTGAAGAGGAAGCAGAAAAGCTCTGAAAGACAAGCTGCCTACAGGTTCCAATACAGTAAACCAAAATACTACCTCTTCTACAACAATGAAGCACGAAGAAGTAAGTTAGGATACAAGCGAGCATATTACCTAGACAACCAAGGCGTAAGCAAATTCCTGTTTCCAGATAAATGGTCAAAAATGGGCTCAGCAGCATGGGCAAAGTATCAACTTGCGGTCACAAGACGCCACGTAAGTGCAGTTCATTGATTTCCTTACTTCTGGCATATATGACTGTGTTTTTACAAGTCTTTGTTTCTATTATGTTTATGTAGGTAAATTTAAATCAAACGTGTCCTATGGTGTTCTCTCGTCTTTTCACATAATAATTCAGATGTTTCTTAATGCTAATTCTTAACTATTTGAAATAAAGAAATGTGGAAGACCTTACCACCCTGTATGGACTGTGTTTAAAGTAAATTTTATTGATTCTGACTAAACTTGCAATTTGCTTTCGTTTGTTTATTGGTGAAATAAGTTTCGTAAACCCCTTAAGAAATTTTTAAGTAAGCAATCTGTTTATTAAAAAAGATTCCTTTATTTTCAGGATGACGAAGACACAAGTACAACACCTTACAACACTTTTGACCAGATAGATCCCGTCCTGAATTTCGATTCTTATATTTCGGATGATGAAAATATAACAGACAAGGTATTTTAGTTGCTTACATATAATCGTTACCGAAAATCAATTTTTATTAAAAAACTATTACAGTGTGTAGGATAATGCAAACAGAATCAACATATTTGATTTGAAATTCAGATAGTAATAAATCACTTGATGTCATCCTTTTGATAGTAACAATATCTTTAATGTAAAGACGAGGAGCAGATAAATGCTGTGTGTCCAGTTGCCATACGTGATATGTGTTTTCAGGATCTGGTCGCCTGGGTTACTGTTGGCATGCAACATCTTCCCAACTCTGCGACAGATGTCCCTGTTACAACTACATCTGGAAGTACACTTAGTTTCTACTTAAAACCGTTCAACTTTTTTGACGAAGACCCATCTACATCATCGTATGATAATGTTTTTATTACACCTGGAGAAAATGGTGAAGCTGTTGTTGAAGAGAACGAAAATAATGCGAAGGAAAGCTGCTCACATCCTAATGATGATCCAAACTTTGACGGAGAATATTGGGTAAAGCCATGATTAGGCTTTGAAGGACTAAACAGCATTAAACATTTAAAACGTGTTGCTTTAAATGTTTATATACCAGATATATTAAAAACTATTTTGGTACAATAAAATTTACATTATGGACATTATATAATAATATTTTGTGAATCTTAAGTTCAATTAGTCATTTGAGATAATCCAGGCATAGGTGTGTTAAATAAATGTTTGAATTACGAGTAATCATTTTTGAATGTTTGTCAAGAAGGTTTTTTATGTTCTTTATTCATGTTCATAAGATTCCAAAGTCACCTACATCTTCCTTCAACTCTACCTACATCTCGTACACACTGTTTTTCTCTCTAATGTCCTTGTATCTTTCTATATACAGGGTGGTCCAAAAAAATTTGGAACATTTGTTAATTGAACGCAAAACCTTTATTTTTCTTCTAAAATGTACCAAACGTTTTACTGAGCATAGTTCAATCACTTATTTATCTGATGTAAAGTTTATAGGTGAAAACCACAAAGTTAATGCATTAAATTAGTCAATGTTTGATAGGACCCCCTTTTCCTAAATGTACACTTGTCAATTCCATGGCTACTTTTTCAAGTATTATTTATTTCAAAGCTTTAATGCACATGTTAATTGCTATAAATATTTTATAAAATCATATTCAGTGGACAAAGGGTATTTACATCTGGGGTTTGCCAGAAAAATATTGTGTTAACTTAAACTTAAACAATACCCAAAATGATCATTTTCATTTAAGAGGAGGGAAGAAGGAACATGTCAGAGGTGAGCGATTGCATAACCCACACAGCTACTCAAGTGACAAAAGAATTGTTCCCACTTTTCAGTAAAGGCAAAACTGACCAGTTATTCACATTAAAAACCAACGCTAAGCACATATACAGTGTATAATATATATATAATATACCATCTGTGTTCTCTCTATGATACTGATAGACATATTGATATTTCCAATGAATATTATTCATATCAGAACAATAAAGGGAAGGGGGATTCATTTACCAGTCAAATCAGACTGCCCTGGCCTCTTTCAGGGGAATATTCAATCAGTAATACACCCAACAATGGCCATCAAAATATGCTTGATACTCATGAATTTGGGTAAAAAAATGTTGAATATGTTACTAGATTTGATCTTCCAAGGCAAACAAATAGGAAGTTTGATCAAGCTGAAATTTTTAATTAAGATGGCTTTGACAAAACAAACGAACAGCAAACTAATTGAATATTTACAAATCTGAGCCCCAGGCGGGGCCCCGGGCTTCAACTTGTAAGTCAGGAGAAGAATGGTCATATCAAATATTGACTAGTTTAATGCATTAACTTTGTGGTTTTCACCTATAAACTTTACATCAGATAAATAAGTGACTGAACTACTGCATGCTCAGTAAAAGTGGTAATGACTGCGACTGGTCGCAGGGACATCGCAGACTGCGATTTGTTAATGAATAGGTCGCAGTCGCAATCACTGCGACGTCGCACGGTGGTCGCAGTGTCTGCGACGTCGCAGTGATTGCGATAGCTTGATGAATGACCCCTCTGTCTGTTATCTTTATTTTAACAGTAAATATGTAAATTGCACATGGTATTATCATGTTTAACTTGTTATAAATGGTAGATTGGGGTTTTACTGAGAAAAATCCGATGAAATGTTGCTTCAATGCAGGATTGATCTAAAAGTATTGATACTAATGGTATTTTTACTGAATACTCAGATCCTGTGTGTGTTTCAGAGGTATGAAAGTGGATAGAATTAATTGCTCTCAAGTATGAAAACTTGTGAATTAAACCAGTAAATAATGACAACGACAATATATAGACAAATCAGGAATGGTAAATCATCTGTAATTTTGGCAAAATGGGAAGTTGAGCACTAAAGATACACTTAGACCATGTCTTGAGACATCACCAGTTATGAACACACACAAGTCGTGTAATCTGTGTAAAGTGGTGAGTGGTCTCGTTGGTGGGACCTGGGAGACAAAGTCTAGTGTCTAAGCTTCCCCGAACCATCGTCAGTGATTATGTGACAGGTAGAGTATATTTAATTGATCCTAGGATGATGACATTGGTGGTGTCACCCCTATTGTCATTTTTGTAGAGAATGGCCGGACATCCCGATCCAGTAGTGGATCTTCTCCCTTACTTGTGAGTCACAGTAAGGGCCCAATGTGTTTCGAACTCGTGGTTGGTGGTCCATGATATGTTCTTCATCAGCAGCCTAATGAGGGGGAGGGGGATGGGTTGTCCCCGATTTGGTTTTGTTTTGGGACTGTCTCCAGTTAGAGACAGTTAGTTGGGTACTAAGTAAATTGGTATCATAGTTTGGTTGTGTTTGCAGATTGTGCCTGATTGTATTTAATAGTGTAGTTTATTGATTCAGTATTGGGTTGTGACTGACTCTGTTGCGGTGGTTGGTGTCAGGTTGTGTTGTGATGATTCAACAATGGTTTGATTTGAATTTGGTCTCGTTGGCTATGTTCAGTGTCGGGGTTGGTGACTTAGACCATGTCTTGAGACATCACCAGTTATGAACACACACAAGTCATGTAATCTGTGTAAAGTGGTGAGTGGTCTCGTTGGTGGGACCTGGGAGATAAAGTCTAGTGTCTAAGCTTCCCCGAACCATCGTCAGTGATTATGTGACAGGGAGAGTATATTTAGTTGATCCTAGGATGATGACATTGGTGGTGTCACCCCTATTGTCATTTTTGTAGAGAATGGCCGGACATCCCGATCCAGTAGTGGATCTTCTCCCTTACTTGTGAGTCACAGTAAGGGCCCAATGTGTTTCGAACTCATGGTTGGTGGTCCATGATATGTTTTTCATCAGCAGCCTAATGAGGGGGAGGGGGAGGGGGGATGGGTTGTCCCCGATTTGGTTTTGTTTTGGGATTGTCTCCAGTTAGAGACAGTTAGTTGGGTACTAAGTAAATTGGTATTATAGTTTAGTTGTGTTTGCAGCTTGTGCCTGATTGTATTTAATAGTGTAGTTTAATTGATTCAGTATTGGGTTGTGACTGACTCTGTTGCGGTGGTTGGTGTCGGGTTGTGTTGTGTTGTGATGATTCAACAATGGGTTGATTTAAATTTGGTCTCGTTGGCTATGTTGTATTGTGTTGGTTTGTTGTTTGGTTGTGCTCCATTGAGTTAGTTTGATAGTCGATTGTGTTTTGGTGGTTGTTTGTCTGGTTGAGCCTGGTTGTGTTTTGTAAGTTTGGTATCGGGTTGTGTCTCATAAAGTTATGTTAGTTTCGAAGTGGTTGTGTTATGTTGTATTGTGTTGTGCTGGTCGGGTAGCGGGTTGTGCCCAGTAGGATGAAGTATCTGGTTGTGTCAGATTGTGTTGCGTGATTGGTGTTGTTTTTAGAGAGTGTTGGTTGGGTGTTTTGTTATTCCAGTTTTGTTGTGCCTGATTGTGTTTTGATTGTTTTGTGTAAAATTGTGTTGTGCTTCATCAATAACGGGTTTGGTTTTTTCGATTTTTTCGATTGTTTAAAATGTGCTCAACCAAAAATAATCAATACATGTATATGAACAAATGAAAACTTCAAATTCCGATCAATTTTTCAAATGTCATTATACAATGATTGATTGCAGAAGTATATCTGGGTATGCTGTAACATTTATCATATAGATTAGTACAGGTAATGGACTCCACAATGAACTAAAGATAAGATCATAGCTATATAGGTTACAGTATGTAAACTATGCAATTATTGATTAAATTTTCAAAAATTACGAGTCATCAAAATGTATAGTGAAAAACTAGATAAACCACTAGATGTTGGACATTACTTATAATAGTCTTATATTAGTGTTAATTACTCAATTGCAATTACTTTTGGTATTTATTGAACTTAAAGACCATACATTAAAAACTATTACTTTTAATTAACATTTAATATAGCAATGAATCAATTGTTGAAAATCATGATGGCAATGCGCTACATTGTTTTGGGATTTTTATTTATCATGGTTTTCTGCAGTCTGAATTATTCTTTTCATGCTATCTTTGAGAACGAATTTAAGCATTTTAATCCGGAACCTCTTGCAGAACAAGGAAAGATTGGACAATCTGATGTTCTAACACAAGCAAAATCTTTTAATCGACATCAAAATCAACACAAAGATGATGAAAAATATACTGAAAATAAAAAGCATAAAAACGAACAGACATTCTTAGAAATCAAAACTGCAAGTGAGCCACCACATAGTGGAAATTATGAACAGCCAGATGAACTTAAAAGTGAAAGGGGGAAAGATGGAATAAATAGTCCGAAGGAAAACAAAGGTGAAATTAACACCGTTCAAGAAGATGGTCATAAATACGGTATAATCATCAAACCGAAAAATGTTTACTTTGCAAAAACACACAAAGCAGCCAGTACAACAATTCAAAATATTATTTTCAGGTACGGAGAAAAATATAATCTGACATTTGCGATGCCATGGAACATTCATCGGGCCGGGTACCCAAACCACTTTACCCCCGAAGTCATTATGCCACTAGCACACGGTATTGATGAATATAACATTTTCTGTCACCACACTCGTTACCATCCAAGAGTCACCAAATTTATGCCACGGGATACTCTATACATAGGGACTGTACGAAGTGTAGAAAGCCAATTTCTTTCTGGATATATTTTTCATAAATTCTATAAATGCTATGAAACGGAAAAAGATAATATTACTCAAATTCTAAAAGTGATGCTACAGAGTAAACATGGGCGACAATGTGCAGCATGGAAAGTCTCCACTCAGAGCGAACAAATTTACGATTTTGGATTTGAAATAAAGGATATGCTGAATGTAACAATGATCAAGGAATATATACAGTTTTTAGACAATGCCTTTGATTATATCTTTGTGGCTGATTATTTCTATGAAAGTCTGGTTTTGCTGGCAGATATACTCAAAGTGCCATTAAAAGACATGGTATATTTTCACCTAATGCAGGTCAAACGACATCCAGAATTAAACAAAAAAGACGTTAAGATGTTAAAAGAGTGGAATGTTGCTGATTATATGTTATTTGATTATTTCAATCAATCTTTTTGGAGACGTGTTAAAAAATATGGAACAGAAAAACTATACCGCAATGTGGAAACATTAAAACAACTTCAGAATACAACCACGTTAAATTGCACGAAAAATTCAGTGGATAGTCAATGCGAATTAATGAAGTTAGCCGAAACAAAATTTACCCATGATTTAAAATTGAAAATGATTTTTGAAGAGCGTTTGAATGCAAAAGAAAGTACTGGAATTAAATTCAAAACTAAATGGCCAGGCAAATCAAATCAAAGTAATTATCCTTTTCACTCAAAACCATTTAAAGAACGTTACTTTAAAAATTATCCAAGAGCCAAATTGCATTTACCAGAGCTAGAGCAAATCAAGTGAAATGGATTTGAAAGGTTACATCTAAAATATCTAACTCTAGAATCAATATTTTTACATGTTTTGTTAAGGATTTAATGTCAATGTAACATTACATCTCACGCATATGCTCTATAATTTATTAGTATGATAAATCTATGTCTCCCACTTTTTTGTGGTGGAGGTCAGCGGTTGAAGTTCGTTGTTCGGCGGTTCATTCGGCGTCTGTAACGAATGGCAGCTGGTGATGACATTTTGCATGTTAATGCCTCGTTATGTTTTGGCAAAACATTTTAGATTTTCGTAGTTAGTTTTAGTGTAAAGTTTGGGATTTTTCATTTTAGTGCTACATTTTATATTTTCATGTGGATGCTGTACATTCCAAAATGGTCATATTGGTACGAAATGCGTTAAAACTTAGATCAGAGCTCGTGATAGTTCTTTGACTGGACTGGTGAAAATAAATCAACCTTTAGCATAGAATCATCCTTTATTTCATAACCAAAGCATGGAATGAAAATCATTTTATATTTAGACGATCATCACCCTATGTAGACGGAGCTTGCATGCGCGGCGCAGAGTTAATGGTCATTTTTGAATTTGTGATATTTTATAAACTAAGCTGATATGACATGCTTGACATGTAAAATATAATTGATTTTTAATGATTCAAATAGTTTTCTCTAGAACGACATTTAGCTTAAATTAGGGTTACACACGTGTTTTAATAATGTTTTGTGGGGGAATTCTGCTTTTAAAAATTGCACCAGCACGCGGTACTAACTTTGACGGTTAATTTGAATTTTTAACCTACCAGATGTTTGAAAATCAAGGATTGGACTCTCATACTGCACAAATTAACGGTCGAAGTTAGTACCGCGTGACTAGCTAATCAGATATTATTTATTAATTTTGATGTCTTTTATTTCAAAAGGTGAAGAACATTGGGAGCTCAAATGATGTCCATATTGTTTTGACCCAACCATGTCACATTCTAAATTATAGATATTGAAATTTCACATCAAATGGTGTCAGTACATCAAAACTATATTATGAAGTTATTTAATTTCATTTATTTTTTATAAATACTGTTAAGTTGTACATAAGTATTTTAACTTAGCAATTTTGGTCCTAATTCATTGTTAGTTGAATAACAATGGCTTTCAAAGAATCATGTTACACTCCAAACCAAAACTAGACCCTAGTTTACATAAAATAAGACATGCGTATTGGAGTAATAGTAAATATATAATAAATATTATGCTAATAAAATACAGTGCTAACGTTTCATTCCAACTAGGTGTAAAATGAATAGGCAATTACTCAGTAGAAAATCCAGGTTGTATATAGAATTCAAATGGAGGAGAAAATTCTCCACATTTTCTATTTCAGCTGATGAAACATCTTGGCTTACAAGGTTTCAGTATTTTAGACCCAGTGGAAAGCAAGGATGCTTTATGACATTGAACAATCAAATATGAATGAACCATTCACATTTAGTCATTTTATATCAATAGTAAAATCACATCCATTTCACATACCTGGATGAAATTATTCTAATTGACTATTCATTTCAGCCCAAATTCCAATACATGAATTTTACATTCAAAACACCTCTCTCTATATGTAGACATATGCAAATGTTTCATTTCAGCCCAAATTCCAATACATGAATTTTACATTCAAAACACCTCTCTCTATATGTAGACATATGTAAATGTTTCACAACAATGTGTCAAAACAAGAGAGTTTGTTGTCAATAATTTTACCATGGCCCTTTTTATATTGATGAGGGATAAAATAATTAGGCAAAAATCTTTGCATATTCCATCCTTGCACTATAGTGGTCTCCCCTGATATTCAAATTCTCTATTAGACACAGTACTTTAAATGAAGGAGAAATACATCTAAGATATTAATAAAAGTATTATATTCATATCCTTTACATATGGGAGCTTACTTACTAAATAATTAGGTTTTATCTTGGATAATCCCTTTCCATGGAAAATCCATGGAATCATATGTAATTTACAATGAATATATAAGTTACCTTCATCAATACAACCCTGTAAAAGTTCATTAAAATTGACATAGAAGAAACAACTGCCATCTGTCAAAATATAAGTGAATACTGAGTTATAGCTGACCTTGCCTGAGTTATACACATGCATACATAGTAACAACAATAATATAAGTAATTGAATGATTTGAAGTGCAATACAGGATATCTTCTGCTCGAGAAATTCTGTATTGGAAATGAGACGAAGTCGAGTGCCAATACAGAATATCAAGAGCAGAATACATCCTGTATTGCGCTTCAAATCATTCTATAACGTTTTTATCATGTGATCCTCTGTATTGCCACTGAGAATGTCCCCCCCCCCCCCTCCGTACCAATATTTTCTGTATTGCGACGGAGATGATTAATGGGGACAATCTCAGTAGCAATACTGATTGGTACAGCACAAAAACTGACCAATCAGAAGGCTTCATTTTACAGATCATACGATAATCACCTTAATTGCATTGTTACACTAAATGTAGTATTGATCATTGACCAATATCAACAAACATATTGCTATATTCTCACAACTTTATTCCTATCAGAAAAGATTTAGTGCCTTAAAATCACATTTCACTTTTATAAATACAACTTTTGACAAAATAAACCTTGTATTATGTAGCTGAAACGAGAAGATAACCTTTTAACTACAAAATATATAGTTTTCTGGATTCATGTAGATATGATCAAACCTTGGCTAAAGAAGCACCTTTTGCTTGACATATTTTACTGAAAGTATGAATATCCACAGAACAATAACATAACATTACACACATGGACAACACAAAAATTGGTTAAGGTAACATTTTGTTTGGCAAAGTTAACACTTTATTTGGTAAAGGTAACACTTTAAATGAATAAACATGTTTGGCATCTATTCAAGTTATACGTTAGGTCAACATAACATAAATCCAATAGACTAAATGTTGTATAAGTTTAATTAATAGCACCAATAAAACCATCCTCCAATTGCAGCTTTGGATTGGAGATTGCATTTTCCCTGCATCACATCATGTCATACTTACAAAAAGCAAATTGAAAATGACTCAGTTTGAATCAAACTTCTTATTTTCATTGGGGCAATGCATAAGTCTGCACTACCTTAAATGCAATTTGAATCATTGTGTGTGAATACCTTGACCTTAAGGTAGTTCACAAAAAAAGTTTAAAACTAAAAATTTAGAAAACAAAATTATCAAGAATTTCAACGTTTGATATTTTGATTTTAAATTACTGTTTGTATTCTACATGACATATAGACAAAAATGAGATAAGTATTACCTATTTCATTCATCATTGGTAACTATAATCCCTAAACTACAAAAAATTCTCAGCATGCAGATCTACCTTTAATGAACAAATATTTTCCCAAAAAACTAGAAGCATTTAATATGTTTAATAAATAGATACATACACTTAATAGCATGCATACTTATTTGGTTTAGGTTAGAGAGGGAATTCTCTATATACATAGATATCTGTTAAATTGTATATGTATAACATTATAGCTGTACGTTATAGCTGTACATTATAGCTAGTTTAGCTACATGTACCTTCGTTAATAACTTAAGGAGCCAGGTGAAAATCACAATTCTTCTTTTTGTCAATGTTTCCTGTTATACCAGTCCTGCCTTTTGTATATATTTTTAACACCCTCTCTCTCCATTTTAGCTTACTGAAACAGGTATTTTACAATCCCTTCAATCAAAATGCTTTTTCATTATAAAGACACATTTCACCTAGCTCCTATATGAATATAGTTTATATAAAGTTTATCTTGTACAATATTATGAATATAAGGCACCTTCTTCTATTACAGATCAGCAGCAAATATTGGAAGGGCAGTTAGTTGTAATATATTGTATACTAATTGTCAAAAACATTTTTGATCAAACAGTATAGGGTGTGCGAAAGAAATAAAAATAAAGAAATATTTCAGTTTTTTCCAGATTCTTTTTTCACAATATGTCTCCTCTCAAATTAATGTTTCCTGAACCTTATCATATACAGGCATTGGGAATGGTAGAGTACAAGGTCTCTCAAACATTGACAATTTTGGCCCACCCTGTATATTTCTAAGTTTTATGTTGCTTCAAAAAGCTGCCTCATCCTCATTGACAGCTGCTTCAGTCTTGGATCACTTGGTTACAGATATATGTTAACTATCAGTTTTTTAAATACTGGACATATATGGGACCTCTGTCAAATTTCAACCTATGTGTTTATTTCATCCTTGGGGTATTTCATCCATAAGGCTATTCAACACTGGCATAAAATGAAAAATTCTGGTAGTCTGTTGATTACTCGTATATCTTGAAATTTTAATACATAAATTCTCAAACTGGCAGATCTTAATTTAAGTTGGCTAACTTCGGAAAAGTGATCCCAGGTTAAGAGGTTAACCAGCAAATAAAATAACCAAAAAAAAAATCATATTGTTAAAGTTTGACAGTAAACCCTAAAATCTCTGAGCATTATTGCATTTCTAGTTCCCCGACAGCAATTCAGCCTCATGCTATTTCACGTTGATTAAGCTTGAGTATATAGTATATCCTTCAGTTATAGGTTCTTAGGTTATGTAAATTGCCAGGATTCCTGTACTGACAATTTTCTGAAACAGAAAAATATAGGATAATGAAGAATCAGATATAATTCATATATTGTTTAGTTTATCAGTTTTTTAGTTTTTTTCCAATATCAAAATTTATTTTATTTCCAATCGTAATTTTTTCTACAGCACAACCGAATACTTTAAGTTCATTACGTACAAGTACTGTTTAGTTTATCATGGTCAAGTTTTGGTTTGTGCCTGTTGTTCCCTTCTGATGCATGATTATTTGTTATTAGTTTATCCTCAGAACTTGGTAAAATGGACCTTTAATGTTTGCATATTGTTGATAGTTGTTTGTGTATTTTTAAAGACAACCCATAGTGCATTATGATAATAATCATTTCCATTTCTTTTCACTTGTCATGATATTTAACCTAACTACCTTCAACGAGTTGCTGTTGAATAGGGGGGTAGGGTTCCCATCTCAGACTCGCTGTAGACAAAGTTGTGGGGGGTCAGAGTCTCTGGGGGCTCATCGAAACACAACTTATTCCTGTACATGAAGTATAGCACCTGAAAACAAATATATGATACATTCGATTTTATTAAATGTTCATTTCATTTTCGCCCCTATTGGTAAACAGTTTATGTCAATATATGCATTTAGATGCAGATGCCATGAAAAATCACTAGCAGATATCACCTTTTTTTATAGCTTTTAGTGCAACATTTTAGGATTTTCACGCAACAATATAAGATTTTCAAATGTTTAGTCAGTGTTACATATTATAAAGCCAATTGCATTATCAGGGGAGCAATATGGAGAGAGCACTCGACATAGCCAATGCCATTTGACACCATTACCTTGATGATTTCCACGAGTCTAGTGGAGACGATAGCGTAGCTGACATCTGTATAGCCATGCTCACTGATCTTCCAGATTATCATTTGGTAGGGGTTGAGAATTCTGATCTCTGTAATGTCCTCCAGTTTGTAGTGAAATATCTTGTGTTGGTTGTTTGAAAGTATTGTCAGACCTGTGTAATAAATAGCAAGTACATGGTCAGACCTGTGTAATAAATAGCAAGTACATGGTCAGACCTGTGTAATAGCAAGTATGGTCAGACCTGTGTAATAAATAGCAAGTATAGTCAGATCTGTGTAATAGCAAGTATCGGTCGGACCAGTGTAATAAATAGCAAGTAATGGTCAGACCTGTGTAATAAATAGCAAGTAGTCAGATCTGTGTAATAGCAAGTATCGGTCGGACCTTTGTAATAAATAGCAAGTACATGGTCAGACCTGTGTAATAAATAGCAAGTATGGTCAGACCTCAGTAATAGCAAGTATGGTCAGACCTGGGTAATAAAGAAAATAGAGGGACGATCCCTATCTACTAAAAGTAAGAGGCAAACTTACCTTCATTGCTAATCCTGAGGACTCCCTCATACTGAGCCATCACCTTATCCGGAATAAACCGGTTATAGATAATCGGGAAAACATACGCATGGTGAATCCCATCTTTTCCAAGTAGGATTGGTTCTGTGATCGGTCGAGAAACAAATCGCCATCTACTGAGCCAAATATCAAGCTCAGACATACTATCGTGTAAGACGATGTCACTGTATTCGTTATTACTGATAATGGTCCCTGGAGTAGAAACTGAGTCCCCGCGTTGAATCATGGCCAAATGCTCCTTCCAGAAATGAACAATCATGTTATATGACGATTTCCGATTTGGGAAAGATGCAAACCAATATCGATCCCGATCCTGTTTAGCACCATAGACAACAATTGCAGGATAAATGAGATTAGCGATTTTCTTCTCAACTCTGCTTACATGTTCGAAACGAATCATAAACATGATTCTCTTTTTTGACGACCTTTTCCTGTGTTTCTTCTTTGGGGGCACTTCAAAATAGAGCCCCATGGGCTTCACATAGAACATGCCTTTCACCCATGAGTAAGTCTGGCTCATGTAGTAAGCAGCAGGCCAGCTGCAGATGGAGAACTGGAGATCCATTTTGGAGGCTCAACTGAAATTGAATAAAAAACATCTATATTATGAAAACATTGAAACTGTGTATACAGTAAATTCTGTCTAAGTGGAACACCTTTGACACCTCTAAAGCGTTCCACTTGGAAGGTGTTCTACTTATACAGGTTCACTGAACATTTAGGTTAGTTTGTCTTACTCTTGAGACCCTGAAAACTGTTCCACTAACAGAGGTGTTCCTCTTCTATACGTCATGTAGATGCTCAACTTTACAAGTTTCACTGTCCAAACATTTACTACTCAAATTATGCTTGGCAAAGCAACCTTGAAAAATGTTAAGAAGTACATCATACAGTACATGCAAAGATATATGTCAAGTAATAAATCACTTTTATAAGTACTTAAGATAATGATGTTTATATGAGACAGGGATATGTTGTAAATTAAAAATATGTGTATAGATGCAATGCATATACGATACTTGTACCAAATATATTCACTATATAATGTGCTATGTACATATTTCACATTTATTGGTGCATGGTGAAGATTTAGTTGTCCAAAACATTTGACTAATCTTGTATTCCCCTCCCCTTAACATTTCTTCATACAGTAAAACCTATCTGAATACTCCTAATAATCTGAATACACAGGTAAAGGCAAAAAGTGGTTTAAGGTTTTCTTCAACATGGAAGCCTATGCCTATGGAAGATTAAACAACGTGCAAAATCTCAACACCTGCCATTTGTTACAGACACTGACTGCCGAATATCATCCACCCAAAGGTTGTAGACAATAACAATACTTCTTTTAAGACAGGGCTATTGAAATCAGAATTTTGGCTATTATTAGTTTGGACCATTTACAATTTACATGTACCTGGGTTGTAATTGACATTATGGGAAAAAAGTGTCCCTGATTCATCCTACTCTGCCTATCTACGTGACAACCTTCTATCACTTCTTTGCTACTTGTGAAACAGAAAGATGTGATGAGAATCCAAATACCCCATATATTATATTGCTTTGGATTTGATTACCTGCAACATAACTAAAATTAATATGCCTGGATATTAAAAGTAACACAAATAGCTGCATATTAATTGCCTCAGATAACATATCTACCAGAAATACAGTTCTCTGGAGTAATGTGAGGGAAATTAGGACTATGTTATATTCAAAGTAGAGTTTGTGCAGTATATTAAGCATCACACTCTTCTCAAGACCCAAACTTCATCCACATATTTCATATTATATTTATTTGCAGAATCAGAGTTAACAGTTAGAACATTGAATTGATCACAAGGGAAAGATGTGTTGAGAGTGAGTTTTGAAGAAATGGAATGATCACACTTAATTGGATTAATCCTATATTAATACATAGATATTAAATGTATGTATCCATTTGGAAAATATATTTCAGGATAGAAAATACTCAATTTTAAAGTGTTCAATAATGGATATGTCAAGTTATGGTCTCAGATTATTTTGGTGTCAATAATTGAGGTTATTATTTTGAATGTGAAACAAATGACAAATGACAAACATTAATGAAATCAACACAAATAAATGACTACTACAACAAACAGAACTGTACTAAGGTTAAACTTCTCTCATAGAACTGTCCCTTACCTACATCAGGTAGAGCTGTATGAATCCTTGCAGCTAAAAATATCTGCATAAACAGTACTGAAGAAACAACAAATTGGTATCTTGGTGCCTTGATGTTTTCATGAAAACAATATTGCCCTTGTTCATCCTCACTCTGTGATGCTTAGAGTACCCTGATCTCATCAGCTACTAATCACTACCCTCTGACAAAGGCAAATCACTTTCACGTTTTTCAGTAATGTAACGTAATACACAGTGTAGTATTATACTGTATATACAGTAAAACCTGTAAAGCATTGTCATTTCCACTGAGTCTAGGGTAAGAACAACTGACACCTTGTGAATCAAGATGCCTGTAAAGTGAAACACCTCTACAAGTGGAACACCTCTGTAAAAGAGTAGAACACTTTTGAGAGTACCAAGACAAACTAACTTTAATGTTAAATGTAGAACACTTCCCACATGAAGTACTTTTAAAGGTACTAAAGGTTTTCCACTTAGACAGGTTTTACTATATAAAAACACAATCTATAAGGATGCCAGTGTGAAACGAAGTCAATGCTCTAACAAAGGGTAGAAGAAGCTACAGTAGCACCCTTGGTATACGCAGCTAACGAAAATTGACCGGTACGGGTCAAAAGCTGGACCGGTACGGGTTAACGGTTTTATTTGAATTTAAAACAGCCATAACTTGCTCAATATTGACTTCCTCGTGTCTAATTTGAAATATATGATGCCTCCCGATGCTTTTAAGTACCCCAATTTTTTACAGATTTTTAAACGGACCAAAACTCTCTAAATGTGCATTTATGCTCTTTTCTCTCGAGAACGACTGTCTCATTTTCACGATAACTTTTATTAAGTACTTCTAACATATAAGATCTATTTTTCCCCATCAAGGTATGATGTAAATGACATGCTATTTACATCTTGTGAGTTTCAATGACGCGCGTTTGATTTTATAAAAAATGCCAAACTTTGTGACAACGAATTTCATCAGCTATTGCCCCGAACCGGTCCGTCTTCTCGCTGCAAGCAGATTGCACCGAACCGGTCCGTCTTCTCGCTGCAAGCAGGATGAAATTCTTTGTCACAAAGTTTGGCATTTTTTATAAAATCAAACATCGAGTTAAAGTTTTACAGACCTATTTCCAATATGGCGGTTTGCTAGGTGCGAGATACGCAACGAACGAAATGAATTTTGAGAATTAGTTAGGTTCGGACAACCTCCGGAGATTTTCGAAAATGTCCGAGCAGAAACCGCCATATTGGAATTTGGCAGTAAAACGATTCACTCGACTAACAATTACAAGTCTTGATCGAAAAAGAAGTACTCCAGCGCTCCAATACTTACACGGATTGATGATACTGATGTAAGACACAGTTAGAGACCAAAAGTAAGCCGCGGATCGACTTAATTCAATTTCAAAGGTCACTATTGATCAGCTGTTCACTTCTCCGTTTGAGAGCCATAAGTTTCAAAATCTAACATGGCTCTCGAAGTGAGTAAGCCACACTTATTTTGACAGACTCCCTTGGAAATATACACATTGCTCTATCATTAATTGAGAATTCTTCTTGAAATTAAAACACCAAAACAGAATCACATGAATCAGTAACTGCTATATCCTTTTTGAATAGGAATCTACATGAAGTCCATACTGGCATAACAATGAAATGAAGATACATGACCACCTATAAATCCTGATGTTCATAACATCTTTTTGTTTCCAATGTCAAAATTCCAATGTCTTTTAAAAGAAACTGATAAAAGGTTGTAATTTCTCAGAATGCTAAATGGGCAACATTTGAAACAAGTGAGTGATTGCAAAAGCTCACCATGTGAGCTAAAAACTGCAAGAAACATATGTACAGTATAAATGCAAGGGAACATATGTTTTTGCTTGCAAGGGAGATAGCAGGCAGAATGATTCATGGCCAGAGGAAATATTTGTGATGAATAAACCTTGCAAAATCTTACATAAGCCAAAAATCAATTCGTTTTTCACTTATATCTGTGCGAGACTTTTTGTGTATTATTCAAATCCAAAGCTGGAAATTATTGGAAGAAATTTAAGTAATTAAGAGTCTACTCATATGTTATTCTCATTCAGAGGAATGACAATTAGACAACAATTAAGCATGGTTTAAAAAGGTTACTTTATCAGTTTATTCACTCGAAGTGCTGCTTACCACAGCAACCTGATTCGGAAACAACAAGTTTAACCTACTGTATTTGAGGAAACTGAGGTTATTGTTGTTTAATGCTAATGCAAGAAACCTAACTTTTGTAATGTGAGTTAAGGGGGGGGGGGAGGGGGTCAGATGGTTATTGCTGCTTTATCTATTAATACACAGTATTTATATATTATCTGAAACATCTGTTTGTTTTTAAACTGAACTTGATCATCATTTTGTGCACATATACTTCAAATTATATAATTCAAATCAAGAACTTACTTTGTACTTTTTATATGTTTTACTTATAGTTATGATAAAAAAACTACTCTGCCTGCATACTGTGAACATCTCACATTTAATCTCTTCATGTCATATTTAACAAACAACAAAAATGACTTTGAAAGTCTTAACATTTTTGGGTTAACAGTCGTCTTCACAATATCCTTGATAACTTTGAATCTAAAAACCTAAGCAACTGAAGGACCACTATGCAAAGCAATATTATATGAAAAAATGAAAACATATGTTCTTTCCCTAGCTTTTGTATATTTTGGTTTGATTTATAATTTTGGCTATCATACTGTATAAGTGGTAATTTTGCCTAATCATTTAATTTGCCTATTTCCTCATTTTTGCCAGGTTCGGAAAATTAAATGTCGGAAATATTGTCTTTATAATGTTATCCAATGGGAGGTTTCTTGTAATTAGGAAAATTAAAATTAGGAAAATGATGAAATTTGACCATTCGGAAAATTAACCATTCGGATTAAATACCACTTATACAGTATATGTGGCCTTTATTATTTTGATGCTTTTCTGCCGTGTTATTCTTCCAAATATAATAATGGCTGAAACTGCCCTGGTCCTTCAATCACTTATATTTTAGATTCAAAGTTGTCAAGAAAATTGTGAGGAAGATTGTATTAACCAACACTGGTAGAACTCTCCTTACTTTTTGTACCATTGAGATGCATGTGAAATTGACAAAGAGACATACAGCAAAACATCTTCATATCAAAAAAATTCAGCCAAAACATCTAGTCCGACAAAAATCAGAAGTTCTGCTCTCTTACATACATGTAGTTGGGGCCATGTCATCATATTTATGTACGACCAATTTACCACTAATAAGCTCATCCATCCGCAGAAAATAATCCTAAATACCGTTCACTGTTATGATCACATGTTTCCCAGTTATTCTGTGCATTATATATGTCTACAAATAAGAGTATTCTAACTAATGATGGTGCTGTAGTATACTATACATGTATGACTGAAGTCCCCAAACAGGTTTTAAACGAACTACATGTACTTTCCTCATACCATGAAATAACCAAACCGAGTAAGGATAGTACACTCACTCATGGGAAGTGTAAGTTGTCACTCATTATTTTTTGTGCCTGAAATTCCCGACAAAACTTGATTTTGAAGTTGAGTGACATGCACAGCTTTTCGAAGTCTACAGGTACATAATAATTTCATAACATTTTTACGTATTTTTTTCGTACTTAAGATCATCCCCATATTGAAGAAGCATTAAAAAAGTATTCGTTGTGTGCAAACAATTTGCTAAAGTGCATTGCGAATGCAATGTACAGTACATGTAGTGATCAAGAGCGAGAGTTAGATCTATCAAATTCAAAGCCAGATTATAGATGGAGTCCAAGATGTAGTGTTCAGAATTACCATTTTGCATTTTACAACCTCACTCTCTCTATGACAATAAATGCACGCTCACTGTTTCACGACCCCCCCCCCCCTCCCCCATTCCCCTCTAAAGATTAGACTTTGTCAAAAGTTGAAGAAAATTAGCTTTTACGTTGCCTTCAAATTCCTATTTGTACTTACCAAATTCCAAGAAAACGAGTGTTAAATTGATCCTTATATATCCAAAAGGATCTAAGCTTGAATTTTGGCTCCCCAATATGAATAATTCACTATGAATTCCCCAGTTTTAGTACCAGATGTAACTTTATCTGACAGACCCAAAAATGGACTTCCGGTAGTTTGTCTTACACTGGACGAAAATGCACTTCTATTCCAAATTATTTTGAAATATACATTGAAGACAAAACCCTTTTTATGACAAATGGACTATTCATAAATTATGCTCTCAGCTATCAGTCAAATAGATAATCATTATTTTATAGTTTGACAAGTTTCAATATTCCCGGGGAAAATTACGACAATCAAAAATCAATTCAAACATTGTCTGTTCGTCCCTACACGTTGAAAAGGTTTTGTGACATATTTCATCAATAAAGTGAGTATAACTTCTTGAAAACAGCTCTGTTTATATATTGAGTTCCTCGTTAGTTAAATAAGACTCCGTTTTATAATATTTGATTCAATTGATGCATTGAATAACTGTACAGCAACTGTTAAACGACCCGGAAATAAACCGGCTCTGATTTATTTCAATGTTTTTTTTATTATTTATTCAACGTGTGATGTTCACTACCGATACTTCGTACATTTCTCCTTTACTCTCGTTCAGTCCACAGTCATAGCTTTTGAAATTTCATCTCGTTTTCACCACTGATTGGAATATCTGATTGAATTTTATAGCTTGATATTGATATAACTTCATTTGTAATTTGCAGATTGCATCATCTTTCTCTTATAAATCACCTTTTGTTTTTAATTTGATCTTTCCCTTAGATATAGAGTACATAGGGGTATTCTGGGCCACGGGTCATTCCCGTACACACCCTTAGCATCAGGTGAAATCTGGGCTATTACCCTTTACAATTAATTACCATACATATCGATAAAACTATCTGTCTAATTTGAAGTTTCAATAAAGTAATCATGTAAAACAAAGAATTGAAGATCATCCTACAATATTCCATGTCAGAGAATATCCCTATATACTCAGCATTGTGCACCACACGTGTCTTTGCGCAAGGTCGCAACCATAGCGCTTTGAGTTGTGAACTAGGGAGGAAGGTCTTCTCTCCATCAATTAAATCTAAAGCATAAGCAAAGAATATTAATTAATGAGCTTTTTTCTTTAAGTGTCACCATTTCGACACGCTCCCTTTGTAAATGGTTGAAATTTTTATTATGGATTGCTATGAAATTGCACAATACGAGCATGTAATAATAACAGAGCTGTACATGTAGTAATTTCATTAAATTGCATCACATTTTTGGCCTTAAATGTACTTAAAACATTGTAATATCATAAAGTAATCAAAAATGAAGTAAAGCACCATTTTATTTACAAAAATATTACTGGAGCTGATTGGATATTTTCCACATAAAAAATATTCAACTTTCTATTTGCAGGTCAAGATGGACACGAGTCTGACAGGTGCTCAGATTCGGAATATGTTTGTTGATTATTTCAAGGAAAGAGAGCATACATACTGGCATTCCAATTCAACAATCCCATTGGATGATCCTACACTTCTGTTCACAAATGCTGGCATGAATCAGGTATATCAGTGTCAACATGGCGATATGTAGTGTTTGAAACCATTCAGCATGTCTCGTTGATATAAGCAAATGCTTAAACAACATATAATATAATCTTTGCCATTTGAATTCATTACAAATTCATGGTAAGTCCAGTGTGAGTATATGGATACATGTCAGCTGTATTTAAAATTTTTGCCTTAAATTTCCCTTAGTTATAGAAGTGAGGTGAATTTATGTATATGAAAATTTGAATGGCCCACAGACACTGACAATGAACATAGATGAAAAATTGACTAGCTATACCAAGGTAACAACTACTTCTTGGCAATGATGTAAAATAGCAAAAGAGAAATAGGCTTACCATGATATCTTTACTTTCAGTACAAGCCCATCTTCCAAGGTGTGGTTGATCCTAATAGTGACATGGGCAGGTTAAAGAGAGCTACCAACAGTCAGAAGTGTATCAGAGCAGGTGGCAAACACAATGATCTTGATGACGTTGGTAAAGATGTTTATCACCACACCTTCTTTGAGATGTTAGGAACTTGGTCATTTGGGGATTATTTCAAGGTAAGTACCTATGGGTATCTAGTGTGTAAATGTAACAAATGTAAATCTGTAAATGATATTAACTATATTACATGAATAAAAAAAAAAGTTATTACTTTTGCATTAGATTTCTTTTGTGCTTGAGGCTGATATAATACAATGGAAAAGTTGTTATATGAAAAATGGAAATTCATTGATTATACCCTATGTAAAACTGAAACTAATGTTGTCCCGTCCATTTTATCAAAATGCAATATGTGAAATAAATTAATAGGTGAAACCATTTATATAAGTTAGCAGGAAAATTTTGCAAGACTAAATTATGCCATCTTTAGGAAATCACAACTTTTTAAAATCACAACTTTTTAAAATATGTAAAGAATTTTGTTGAATGGTTGAAATAATGTATTTTTTATTTGATCTGTGTCTTATAATGTTCATAGACTTTTATTTTATGATCTAAGAACATGTTTCTAAAATTATTATGCCAAAATGTCGGGGAATTCAATAATGTCACAAACGATTTATTGGTCATAATAAATAAAATTTGGATTATACACAAAGGGTGTTTAACATTATAAAAACACTATCAAAACATCAAAAATTATTGATTCATGATTTAGAGGAACATGATACTTTTTCATACTTTTTCAATACTTCTATATTTTATACTCTTAATTCTATAGATTCTCTGAATTTTAACAAAATGCATTGCTTATACTACATAATTGAGGTTCATACACTTGATGAAGTTTATGTTCATATTATGTACATTTCAGAAAGAAACGATAGCCTGGGCATGGGATTTCCTCACCAATGTTCTCAAACTCTCAAAAGATCGTCTTTACGTGTCATATTTTGGTGGCAATAAGGATGCTGGTCTTGAACCTGATTATGAGGCTAAACAATTCTGGTTGGACCAAGGGTAAGATGAATATTATCATACCATAACATCGTACCATACATGTAACAGTACTAGTATACCAAACTGTATACTTTAACATCATACTGTAACATTATATCATCATTGTACCATAACATCAGACCATAACAGTTTATCACACCATAACCTTAACATCATACTGTAACATCATACCACAACATTATACTATGAGATCATACTGTAACATCATATCATCATTGTACCATAACACCATGCCATAACAGTACTAGTATTCCAAACCATATACTTTAACATCATACTGTAACATCATATCATTATTGTACCATAACAGTATATCAAACTGTACATTGCTACAGCATACAAGCACATCATACCATCTAGGGATCTCCTTTAAATTTCTGACAACAGGAAGAGGGGGCAAATGGCTATAATGTAAATGTCTATTGAGAAGACGTCGCCGCTGATTGGTCAAAACGTCAGACAAATGATGTCATAGTAAATACGCTTCGAATAATATTTAAACAACTGGCGAATATCACCTTTTGCTAATGAAACCCATGTATTCTGTAATATTATTTTAGACTAGAAGAAAGTCGAATTATGCCGTTTGGTATGAAAGACAATTTCTGGGAGATGGGTGAGACAGGACCTTGTGGCCCATGCTCCGAGATTCACTACGATCGTATAGGAGGACGGGATGCATCTTCTATGGTAAATGCGGATGTGCCTGATGTCTTGGAAGTATGGAATCTTGTCTTTATACAGTTCAACAGGTAAGAGGCAGGAATCCTTTATCTGGACATGTATTGTAAATTCAACTGGTTAAAAATGATACCCATAAAGGAACTGTATCCTGGACTGAGTGATATTTGGACACTAACAAATGCCATATAAGTCTGTCAAATGTTCAATGTCTCTGTCTGTATCTTAGAGGAACATTAAAGGTCTGATGTACTTCCAATAAACATTAGGAAAATGCTCTTGATGTTTTTGCATGTAGTATGATTCTTTTATTTCTAAATAAATCTGAAAAATAATCTGCCAACATTAAAAATTGTAACGGACTCAGTCTCTCATTTAATATAAACTTAAAAGCATAATGAAAAATTTATATTAAAATATGCTTTTTATCAACAGTTTCATTATTCCTTGTTATAGTATGTGCTATTGCCACTATATATTTCATCCTGTTGAACCTGTTTTGAAATATTACAATTTACATAGCAAAATCAAATATTAACGCTTTGCATCACTGCATTTTAAATGATCAACAACATTAATCTAAGATGTTTGTATTTTAATACTTCAAAGTTGAAAAATTGCGATGACAATTTGTTATACAGTAAAACCTGTCTTAGTGAACACCCCTCCCGATTGAACATCTGTGACTGTTAAGTGAACACCACTTCAAGTCACATTTTACATTGACTCCTGTATAAAATCCCCTCTGTAGTGAACTCCATCTCTTTATGTCCATGACAGTAAGGTCACTTTTTAATCTCAGTACAATGTGCTAATTGGCACGGTTTTAGTCATATTTTCATATGAGCAGTGATCTCCCCAGCATTAAAATGAGTGGGTGTGGCACCCACCTTAGATTTTAAAAACAGGCTTGAGCCCACCTGAACATCCATTTTGCACCCACTTGAAAATGAGAAAGATCATGAAAAATTGGCATATTTTGACCAATGTGGTCTGAATTGTTAAAATGAGAATTTTTCATCCACTTGAGAAAAAATAGAGAGCACTGGGATACATATCACCTCTATATGTAAAACTTGGAAGCATGTCACAGTCTGTATCTTTATTTCCAGAGAAAATGATGGCTCTCTAAAGCCCCTACCCAAGAAGAACATTGATACTGGACTGGGGTTAGAGAGGATAGTATCTGTTGTTCAGGATAAAATGTCAAACTATGACACTGATCTCTTCATGCCAATTTTTGATGCTATACATCAGGTAATTGTCTTTATTTGTTTTGTTTTTCAAATATATTGATAAATGTATCTCTGTAAGATACATTTGAATGTGCATGTAGGTCATAATATAGATGGTTTCACATTTTTCTTGTTTTTGTTTGAATTTTGCAATTGTGGGTTGTTCAACCATCCATCTGTTTTATAAGACATGAATGTATGTATATCTCCAAAAGCGTGTATTCATTTCTCCTAAATGTTTATGTATGTCTGTGTTTCTCCTCATATTTTCCTGAATATGTTATATGTAGGGTACAGGGTGCAGACCATATAGTGGCAAAGTAGGCTCAGATGATGTAGATGGGGTGGATATGGCATACAGGGTACTAGCTGACCATGTTAGAACTCTTACTATAGCGCTGTCTGATGGAGGGAGACCTGACAACGTAGGAAGAGGGTAAGGCTAATGTTCAAGAATCTTATGATAAAATGAAAATGTCCAAGGCATTATTTTAATTTTTGTGTTTCTTCAAACCAAATAGAGAAAAGTGACAAGATTGATAATGTGTAAAATGAGAGTAAAACATCTATGGCCAATCACATGTATGAAGTTTTCATGTCTTCTGGATGGTCCAGCACCTATAATAGTTACACTTAAAACACACTGTAATTAAATACCAATAGTTCAGCTTTTTGTAGTAAAGACATGCAAATTCTGTTATTTCAATGATTCACGTCAGTCCATGTTTTTAGACCTGACACTGTTATACATACCAGTCCATGTTTTTGGACCTGACACTGTTATACATGCCAGTCCATGTTTTTAGACCTGACACTGTTATACATGCCAGTCCATGTTTTTAGACCTGACACTGTTATACATACCAGGCCATGTTTTTAGACCTGACACTGTTATACATGCCAGTCCATGTTTTTAGACCTGACACTGTTATTCATGCCACTCCATTTTTTAGACCTGACATTGTTATTGTTCTTCAAAGACATGCTAATGTTTATAATCCTTTTAGTCCTGACCCTGGCAAGATCATTAAACCTAACAACTAAAAATTCTCAATTGCAGATATGTATTGAGACGTATTCTTAGAAGAGGGGTGCGTTATGCTACGGAGAAGTTGAACGCAAAACCAGGATTTTTTGCCTCTTTGGTAGACACTGTGGTAATATCACTGGGTGATTTTTTCCCTGAAGTCAAAAAAGATCCAGAAATGGTATGTACATGTCTCATATATGAGTTGACATTAGATAAGAAATTCAAAACAGATTTCTGTTATATACTAGTATGAGCTTCCACTCAAAATTGAAATAAAACAATTTCAAAAAGGGAGTTTTTTGTATTATAAGACAAGTCACATTTTCAACCATGGTCAACTAATCTCAACCAAACAAATTGCACTTTTATATTGGTTGTTCACACGTCCGGTGATCGTACAAAATGAATGGAAGGGGGAGTAGGTGATTTCTGCAAGAAAACTCAACAAATTTGGAAGATTTATTTTTTCAAGAGAAAATCTACGACTAAATTGCCAAATGAATAGGCGCAGTGCATGGCAAAATATGTAAGGTCTTCTAGTATTTTTTTTGAACTGATACGCTTCTAACATATGAGATCTATTAAAATAGGCGCATCATCACCAACGTGCAAAATGTTTTTGCTATAAATCAGGCCACAATGGTCTACACGACCTGTAATAAATACGTATAAGGGACGTTATTTTCACAACACTACTGACATTGCTCACTTTTTAAAGTTTCCATGCGTTATACAAAAAATAATCGAAATAAATTAATATTGGATGGAGGGGGGAGTGGATGGAGGGGGGGGGAGTTATATGTCTTTACTATGGAACAAATTCACAAGAACTCGTGTATTTGAAAAAACTAAACTCAGTACCCCACAATATTATATCTCTGGAGAATGAAAAATGGGAAAATTTGGAGTCATAAGAATAAATTCAAGTAGCATGTCTTATCATGTCTTATATACACGTTACTCCCTCCCTCCATCTACTCCCCCCACTCCATCCAATATTAATTTATTTCAATTATTTTTTCATTCTTTTCATTCTATTAATCAATTTTTATTAGTCAATTTTTAATCTATTATTCCTTAATTATGATGAAAACTTTTGAACAATTAAACCATAGTTTGTGCATGTTCATGGCTTTTCAGGTTAAAAGTATTATCAACGAAGAGGAGGCCCAATTTTTAAAAACACTCAATAGGGGTCGTAGATTGCTTGAACGTACCATTGAAAAGCTTGGTGAGGGTCAGGTATTACCAGGTGATATTGCGTGGAGACTTTATGACACCTATGGTTTTCCAATTGACCTTACCCAGCTCATGATGGAAGAGAAAAATCGGGAGATTGATATGGAAGGTTACAAAAAAGCAAAACAAGAAGCTATTGTAAGTAATATTTAATTACAGTATCAATGGTTATGTAATTAATGTCTTTTCGTATGTACCACCAGAAATGGTGACAAATTGTTATATTCTCCAACTTTTTGTGTTCGGCGGTTGGTGTTCAGTGTTCAGCGGTCGGTGTCTGTAACAAATAGCAAATGGTGACATTTTGTATGTTAATGTCTTGTTATTATTTATTGTCTTGTTTTGATACAAAGTTCATGAAATGTTTATAAAAGGTATTAATCTTAACTATTATGCAGCTATCATCCGTAACTATTTAAAGATATTGTGTGTCTTGTTTACCACATATTATTTTTATTTCTTGATAGTACCTACAACCTTCTATAATAGATTTTATTTCAACACTTGAATGATCCTTGATGCAATAACAAATGTTATTTGATTTGAACAACAATAGCTACTCAATAGAAAAGATTTATGTAATTAAGGATGGTTATGGTATCACAAATGCGATATGCAAGCTGTAATGTCAGTAACACATTCACCTCTTCCTTGGAGAGTGTTCACAAAGATGTGTCAGATATGTCACATGCCTCCTATGGCCCTGAAAATGTCAGGGAAATGTGTTCATTTTCCCAGCACCTGGAAATGTCAGGGAAATGCATTCATTTTCCCAGCACCTGGAAATGTCGGGAATCATTTTTTATTCTGAAAACGTTACCACACTCTATGGCTCAGTGACAGAGCCAAAGTTACCACCATTGTTCAGCCCTTGGTGTTTTGAACTTCTATATCTCACACTACTATACCTAACACCTAGAAATGCATAAGATACTTTGTTTGTCTAATTGAATTGTTTAATATATTTTTGAAAGTGCCCTACTAGCATCTAATTTTCAACCGATAAACCATTCATAAGGAACAGACAAATAAAAACAAATACATAATCATTACTAATAAGCCAAATGGGTTGCTCATGAACACCAAATGCAAGGTATAGTAGTGTGATCTGTGCACATAAAATAACACAGGGCTCCAAGGAAGGGTTTGCTGCTCTTTGCATGAAAAATACATAAAAATATGGAGTATACTTAAAAGGTATTGCTCGCTAAATATGCCGTTAACCAAAATACAAAATAGGAACACTGAGTCCACATAGGCTTGTTGAATCCACCAGTGATATACTAAAAGTATGTTTCATATTTGTTTATAGTTGAAATCTCAAGGAAGTGGGAGTGGTGTAGACGACCAGTTGAACCTAGATGTGCATGCTATAAATGAACTCCAAAAATTAGGCCTACCTCCAACCAATGATCTCCCTAAGTACAACTACACTGCAACGGAATCAGGCGATTATTGTAAGTTGAGATTTTACCCAGTGTTACACCCCCATCAAACTGGGCTGGCATTAAATACTGTGAAATGGTTTCATTTTTTCAATGCAAAATTCCATGTTAATTGACCATGGTATACCATACCCATCATTGTATACCATGATCTTTAAACGACACCATTGCATTTGATTGCTTTTCATGGTCGAAATTCTTGATCATGATATCGCTGTAAATGATGGTATTTGATGATGGAATACTGAAATGGTGGTATATTTTAGATACAAAATTACATATTAATTGGCCATATTACCTTGATTGTTAAATGGCACTATTGCATTACATGGTCAACAGCACTTTATTAATATTGTGTTTTTCATTGAAAATCTGCTTTTTCACACTATTACAATACGTGGTTAAAAAGCAACAAATGCAGAGATATCATGGTTGAAATTCTCTGACCATGAAATCTGCAAAATGCTTTTTTCAATTGAAAACTCGATGTTAAAATGTGATGTTGACCTGTAATGCAATGGATCTGCCAAATAACAATCGCAGTATGACCATGGTATTTCATTGCATTTCATGGCGATAGACAATGGTATGACTGTCCATTTCAACATGGTAAAATACCAGTAATAGGATTTGACGTTAATTTTATAGGCTAATGTCACGGGGAAAAGGACCTCTGCTCAAGAATGAATTTCCAATATGACCACATAATTCAAAATTGCTGCCATTTTTTGTTCAAAATGTTATCTTTGGTAACTCACATATTTGACTGATAAGTTTGAATTTTATATGCTGATGCCATATTGACATGATCTGCTCAAGAAGGAAAGCAAAATGACTGCTGAATTCAAAATGGCCGCCTTATTCATAAAAATATATATTTCAATTTCTTAAATACCATCTATAACATTTGGTTCAGATTTTATGTGCTAATGCTTAATTCAAAATGGAAAATCATATAATATAACTCTACTATTTTCTGGTTATTAGCTCATTTTTATCATGTAATGTCCAAAATGACGAGTAGTTTATAAAATATATTTTGATCGGTGAGATTTGCTTCTCGGCAGAGTTACTGTTTTCTAGTCATAGTCCTTATTGTTCACAGCTTATTTTGGCTTTCTTAATTGTATAATCATAGTTTCTTTAAATTCAAATGGCAAAGAGTTACACTGAGTTTCATATGAATTTGTTCTGACAAATTTCATCAACATTTTCAAAATTTTAATCTGGACCTCCGTTTGTAACACAATAGACTCCAAACTTGTCTGATGGATTATGATTCAGATCAGTGTTTACTCCTCCTTGACCACACCATCTATTTGTATATGGCATCTGCATTGGGTATCTTATGCTTCCATCTTCAAGCCATCCCCATGCACTATCCTCCAACTCTAAGGCATTGGCTACGTCTAATTGGAATGGTGTGGCTATCTTATGACCCTTACTTTTACAGTATGCCTTGGCATCAGCAAATGTATAGATGTAAGGGCCGGCAAAGTAGGTAATACTCCTCTCTGTAAAAAGACATGGTGTGTATCTGTAACATTTGTGATTGATTGCTTATTTTAAGGAATTACCATGAAGTTTTTTGCCAATACAGGAATGATTGATCCTCTTTAATGCAACAAGTACATTGCTTCTCAACTCATGTGATCTCTCTTGTACTTAACCCACATATATATATTATATATAACCCATTAGTATACATATGAGTACATGTATATACATGTATCCGAGTCAATTATAACAAACCACATTTTACTTACGCCTTTGTCTCTCACATGGACAATCACGCGGTTCACTAGTTGTTTCTGTCAGTTTAGGAGTTAATGTAGGAAAGGTTCCTTGATTTTGTGTCTTTAGCGCATTCAGCTTATCTTCATTTTGATTGATTTCCGCAGTAAGTTCATTCTTAATCTGGTCCAGTTTACTAAGCACTTCAGTATTCACACTATTTATATCAAGTCGCAGTTTTTTAATACATTCTGTTTTTGTGCATTCTCTGCATATTCTGCATAATGGGCATGTTTCGCACACTGGGCATGTTTCGCACACTTGGCATGTTTCGCACACTTGGCATTTTTCGCACACTCGGCATTTTTCGCACACTTGGCATGGTGTGCACTTTGGTGGAACGTCGTACTGTGCAGTTGTGACATATATGATTGTTGCATATATGAAAAGCACAGAGATCATCTGCTGTTTCATTGTGGATGTATGGTATATGGTGAACTTCCTTATAGTGTGTTAAATTATGTAACTAATCTCTCTCAAAGCTTGCCTTGCAAAGATACACAGATGTAAATGAGATGCCTAGATCAATTTAGAAGCGATATAAGGTAAATATAAATAAAGCCATTTATAATTAAGAATATAAGCTTAATAGTTATCACATCATTGATAAATTCTATTCAAATATTATGTTGTTAATGTTAGGCTAATTTATAATTTAAATCATTGTCGTTTGTTTTACCTCATAATTCTAAAAAAGATTCGAGTAATCCGAACAAGGCATTTTATGAAATAAACAACCTTTGACCTTTAGCAAAATACGCTTATTTTCTGTAAATGCTTTATTGTCATAAGACCTCTGCTGAAGAAAGAATTTAATATGTGGCATCAGGTCACAGCATGGGTGCATATTTTGCCAAATTGAAACAATACTACTCTACTATTTCTTAGGTTTTCTATCATGCAATTTGCAAATTTAGCAATAAAATGAAAATTTGTAATTCAAAATCATTTTAATGAAATTTGAAAAATAGTGAGGTATTTAGTAAGATATGTTTTGTTCCGTGGGATTTGCTACTCCGTGGATTACTGTTTTCTTGTCTTGAATGACATTGCGCTATCATAGTCCTTATTGCGATATGACTGTTGGTGGTGTTGGACAGGATATTTTGGCTTTACAACTTCGGCCATGATAATTAGTTGAGAATATAAACCAGCTATATAATCATACTTCTTAGAATTTAACAGAAACAAAATAACTTTGAAGTTCATATGAATTTATTCTGACAAATTTCATCAACATTTTCAAAGTTTTAATCTAGACCTCCATTTGTAACACAATAGACTCCAAACTTGTCTGATGGATTATGATTCAGATCAGTGTTTACTCCTCCATGACCACACCATCTATTTGTATATGGCATCTGCATTGGGTATCTTATGCTTCCATCTTCAAGCCATCCCCATGCACTATCCTCCAACTCTAAAGCATTGGCTACATCTAATTGAAATGGAGTGGCTATCTTATGACCCTTACTTTTACAGTATGCCACTGCATCAGCAAATGTATAGATGTAAGGGCCAGCATAATAGATGATACTTCTCTCTGTAAAATAATGATTCTACATGTTACACATTATTATTCAGACGATAGTTTACCCCTCTTTCTTCACCACACCAGTTGTTTGTATATTGCATCTGTTGTGGTAATGTAAGATTTCCATCTTTTACCCATCCCCAAAAACATTTAGACATCCCTAAGGCAAAAGCTGCTTCTATTTGGGCTGATGTTGCGATCTTGTGACCCTTACTTTTACAGTATGCCACTGCATCAGCAAATGTATAGATGTAAGGACAAGCAAAATAGATTAAACTCCTCTCTGTAAATAGATGTTGTGTATCTGGAACATTTGTGATTGAATGCTTATTTTAAGGAATTACCACAACGTTTTTTGTCAATGCAGGAACGATTCTTCCTCTTTAATGCAACAAGTACATTGCTTCTCAACTCAAAAGAACTCTCTTGTACTTAACCCACATATATATATATATATATTATATATAACCCATTAGTATATGTACGAGTACATATATATATCCGATTCAATTATAACAAACCACATTTGACTTACGCCTTTTCCTCTCACATGCACAATCACGGGGTTCAGTAGTTGTTTCTGACAGTTTAGGAGTTAGTGTAGAAAAGGATCCTTGATTTTGTGTCTTTAGCGCATTCAGCTTATCTTCATTTTGATTGATTTCCGCAGTAAGTTCAGCTGTAATGTCATTCTTTATCTCAACTAGTTTAGTGTTGAATGCTTCAATCAGATCTTCTTTGATGTCATTCTTGATCTGGTCCAATTTACTAAGCACTTCTGTTTTCATACTATTCACATTAATTCGCAGTTTTTTAATACATTCTGTTTCTGTGCAATCTGGGCATGTTTTGCATTTGCATACTTTGCATCTTGGGTATACTTTTGACTGTGCAGTTGTGACATATATGATTGTTGCATATATGAATAGCACAGAGACCATCTGCTGTTTCATTGTGGATGTATGGTATATGGTGAACTTCCTTATAGTGTGTTAAATTATGCAACTAATCTCTCTCAAAGCTTGCCTTGCAAAGATACTCAGATATAAATGAGACATCTAAATTCAATTTAAAACCAATAATAGGCAGATAAATAAAGTTGTTTGTAATTAATACAATCTTATGTTATCACATTATTGATAAACTGTAATGAAATATTGTTTTGTTTTGTGGTACTGGTTAATTTGTTAATATAAATCATCAGTTATTTTAATTATAATTCATAACTAGTACGCGTACCTATTAGCAATGATTACTTTATGGTTTGCAAACAAAACTTACATAGCCTTACATAATATTCCTACGTCTTCAGCTATCGACTGGGAACCGGGGACCCCTCGGGTTCGTGTCAATATCTCCAATTCAAAAGCAATTATCCCAGCAGGAATTTTTTGGTATGAATAGAAAGACACAACATTATATCAACAAAATATCGAGCCTCGATGTTTGTCTATTGTGGGTGAAGAAAATATTATCCCTAGCCATTGTTGAATTGTACCCGTCAAATTTAGCTATTCGCTTACCCATTTGCCAAAAAGATCATAATCAGCTGTATTGTCTGCTTGTTATGAACAGATACAAACTAATATTAAAATCTTGCCCGTTTCCTCATTTTTTGTCAAATCTAGTAGGCAATTCGCAGGGGAATTTTTGTCATTCTACAAGAAGAAACATGTTGAAATTGTCATCAGAATGGGGCATTCTCTCATTGGCTTTTAATTACGCGGTCAGTTGCGTCATTTTAGAATACCGCTTCTCTATTGGTGAATGTAAGTCTGATTACAATTTGTTCGAGAAATTTTCATTCATAAATAATTCTAACTACATTTCGTGGGCTTTCTGCGAAGAAACTTGTGACCAAGTATGGTCCTTAATTAACATATTGATATAAACAATAACAAAAATGGCTAACGATCAAGACACAAGACTGTTGATATCTCAGTTGCAGTGGTCAAATATCGCGGATTTAGTTTTCGAAGACAGCCTTAGTATTGAACTACATAAAGATGTATTTAATGCAGCAAAGGAAACTAGTATGATACTGTATGTTGGAAGCAATATTTTGTATTAACAAAAGTATAAACAGTGGTGCCTCTTACTATCTCAAATAATTTCTGGAAAAGGGTTGAGTGACCTGAACAGTTTTAATACTAATTTAGTATCTTATAATGATACAGAATTGTCTAATAATAACTTAATAATTTGGCAAAAAACAGTAGAAATCATGGGCTTTCAAGAGAAGCCCATGTAGAGATCAAGTCTTCGACTTTTTACAAAATAGAATTCACAAAGAAAATCTGACGAAAAAACTGTAAAACATGCATTGTATCATATTGTATTGTTTTGTTATATTGTATTGTTTTATCCAATAGTCTTGTATGATGTAACCATATGGGAAATCAAGTGTTGTCCCATGATAAAGTCTAGTGTTACTCCATGGTCTAGTATACCATATGAGAGGATAAGTATTATCCCATGATAAAGTATACTGTTATTACATGGTCTAGTATTAATGGGAGGTCAAATGTTGTCACATGATATAGTCTTAGGTTATTCCATGGTCTAGTATTATCCCATGACAAAGTCTGCTGTTATTCCATAATATAATATACCCTGCGGGCAGAGTCTAGTTATAAACTACCCTCTACCTAGTATAGACTATATTACAATTTCACAGCCCCACCCCAAAGATTGGTGCCTTTGACAGCCCGGGTAATAAATCATTTCTAATCAGCCACGCTGACCCTTTCTTAACAAATAAGCGAAGTGGATGGAACACGTGCTAAATACTTGCCCATTATATAACGATGATGTCAGAGGAAATTCGTCCGTAATTCAACGACAAACTCTGATTGGCTCTGTGAGATCAGAGATTTATCGTGAACTGAAAGAGTGAAAACGAAGCTCTCTTTTAAGAAGTGAAGTCGAACAAAAGCAAAGGGTAAATATAATGTAACCTTATTGGAAGTCAAGTGATGAAGCTAGTGTTATCCCATGGTATTAGTAAAGTATATATACTTTATGTAGTTTTAAGTGTTACCATGATAAAATCTATGTTTATTCCCTGATATCTTAAGCCATGCTATCCCATGGCTCAGAATAGTATCTAAAAGCACTGCAAACTAAGGAACTGAGAGTACATGGTTAGTACTACATTTTGATCAGAATCGTAAATAGTGTTTGTTAGGATTTGCTACTCCGTGGAGTTGTTGTTTTCTAGTAATGTTGTTTATAAATGCATAATAAACAGTTTTATTTCAACCATTAAGTTGCTATTTACCATTGGTAAAGTGAAGGTTACTCTTCAATCATATATTGCATTATCGGTCTGTATTAGATGTTATGTTATTTATGTTTTGTTTTATTATTATGTTATATTACAGGTTACCCCAAAAAAATGCAACCCTCCATTTCTTCAATATTTTTCTTAAATGGAGGTTAATTGCTCTGAAATTTGGCACACAAGGACTTCATTCAATGTGGGATCCTCTGACAAAGTTTCAATAACCATAGTCTTATATTGATAGAGCTATGGTCGTTCCAAAATATGCTCCAAATGTCGTCAATTTCCAATGTTAGGTTTTCAGATGAATCACATTCCCTTCTTTCTGAACATGTAAACTCAAGAAATAATGTGCTCTAGGATCACAAATTCCAGATGAAGTGCTTCAAAGGCCCCTTCATTCTGTTAAATGCACAGCTTGTGCTGCAAATTTCCAAACATGAAATCAACAGCCCCTTTTGGTTTGAGGTTGATAATGCCAACACTGTTACTGTTAACACACAGCGCAATATTTGCGTTCCCAGGAAGTTCTAGGCAGTTCTAGAGTGGTATGGAGGCTTCAATAGACAAGAACAGAGGTTCTAGAAGGATGGAGCTTCTCCTCACACTTCTGATGATAGCATAGCCTGGCTAACTAGTCATTTCTATGAGAAGATGATCTCTCCTAGGACGGAGAACCCATGGTCATCCCACAGTCTTGATCTCAATGCCCCCGACTTCTACATATAGGGTTATTTAAAGGATAATGTGTATGAAAATAACCCTACCGCAATTGCAGAACTCCAATAAGCAATGGCCGCAAAAAGTTTGAGCCATACCCATGGGGAAGAATGCATCCATGTTATGAACAGTTTTCCTTGAACATTGCAAGTTTGTTTTCAGCGAAATTGACGACATCTGGAGCATATTTTGAAACAACCATAACTCTATCAATATAATACTTTGAATATTAAAACTTTGCCAGAGGATCCCACATTGAATGAAGTCCTTGTGTGTCAAATCTCAGAGCAATTTATCTCCATTTAAAAAATAAAAAAAATATTGAAGAAATGGAGGGTTGCATTTTTTGGGTCACCCTGTATATTCATTTCCATATTATAATTACAAGTAAAATAACAAAGTATGCACATGACATTGAATGTTTACTTTGCAGGAGACACAATTTGTACATTTTTACTTCAGCTTGAATGTCTCTCAACTTTTTGGCGACCCTGTCATGTCTGCACTTCGCAGTTCAAAATTTCAAAATCAACTTCTGTAGTAATTTGATACCATCTTCTTATTTGCCTCACTGACCTTTTATTGTTTCTCAAAACATATTCTCTCAAAATCAGGAAATAAGGTGATAAGCAGAGAAATGTGGGGAATTTCAGTCACAAAAAATAACGAGTGACAAACTTACACTTCCTCAGAGTCCATATAGTTGAAGCATGAACACATTGTTGTTTAACAATAATCTCAAGATATATAATGTAACATGTACAGAAGAAATGTAAAGAAGAAATGCTGAATTGCTGAATTCAAAATGGCCATCATTTCTCAGGAAAGTTAACACCAGTTTCCAAATATGGCCCAAATTGTATACGCTTATGCTTTACGATCAGAAGACCAGCTCTGCTCAAGAAAGAATTTAATATATGGCATCGCATTACATCATGGGAGTAGATTTTGCCAAAATGAAACAATACTACTCTACTATTTCCTGGTTCTTTATAACATAAAGGTATTTTGAAATAAAATAATGTTTTGTTTGGTGGGATTTGCTACTGAGTGGAGTTTGCTGTTTTCTAGTTGTGAATAATATTATTCTATCATAGTCCTTATTGCGATATTGCTGGTTGACAGGGTATTTTGACTTTACAACCATTGACTTTTGACTTTTCAAAAAAAAGAAAAAAAAGTATTTGATATACCAGATATATAATCATACTTCTTTGAATTTAACAGAAACAAAATAGCTTTGAAGTTCATATGAATTTATTCTGACAAATTTCATCAACATTTACAAAGTTTTAATCTGGACCTCCATTTGTAACACAATATACTCCAAACTTGTCTGATGGATTATGATTCAGATCAGTGTTTACTCCTCCTTGACCACACCATCTATTTGTATATGGCATCTGCATTGGGTATCTTATGCTTCCATCTTCAAGCCATCCCCATGCACTATCCTCCAACTCTAAAGCATTGGCTACATCTAATTGGAATGGAGTGGCTATCTTATGACCCTTACTTTTACAGTATTCCTTGGCATCAGCAAATGTATAGATGTAAGGACCAGCATAGTAGATTAAACTCCTCTCTGTAAATAGACATGGTGTGTATCTGATTTGTGATTGAATGCTTATTTTAAGGAATTACCATAAAGTTTTTTGTCAATACAGGAACGTTTGTTCCTCT